GGAGTGCCGCTGCACTTCCCAAGCGGTGCACTGTAGCAGTGCGCCACCAGGCCGGCCCTGAAAGCTCTTTTTGTTATGTGACCACTTATCCCTATGTGAATTTTTCCCCAAATTAAAAATATTATTTCAGCATTAAAATAGAGGAGAGAAAAATTAAGAAATAAAAATAAGGGAAAATCACTATTGCTGCAATATATAAATGACTTTTTAAGATAAAATAACTCCCCAGAAGTCTTAAAAATGGCAAAGAGGCTGTTTCAATATAATATGAAATATTAGTTACATTTCATTTCCATTCCTAGATGTTGACTTTGATCCAAACGTTACTATACACACTGGAAGATAAAAGCAAACTATCTTTTAAAAGGAAATACAGAAAAAAAGTGTAGCTGCTGTGACTGTGAGGAACATGGACATATCATCCAACTAGCCACAAAAAACCTTTGATACTTGAAAGTGTATAAATACATAGATTTCCTTTCTGCAACCGGCACCCCTGTGGGGCACTACGGAAGCATATTTCACATTTCATAATGAAAGACTGTGAGAAATAGAATTCTTTTGAGGATTTCTTTTTGTAATATGTCTCATACACTATTAACGACTGTGTTAACCCAACCTCCTCTTTTAAAAATTTAACTTAAATGCTTTTCCTTCTGTCATTTTCCTTTCCCAAATTCTTGATATAATCTCAATAAGGGGTCAAGATCTTTCCCCTTTTCCACAATCAACCTATTCTATACAGTGTTCCCTACCTTATCACCACTTTTATCTAAGCATGGAAATAAATCATTGGAATTTTACTGTCCCCGAAAAGCTTCTACAAGATTAAATTTGTACTAGGAGGGCTTATTAAGAAGGCATTATTGTAAAAAGACACTTCTAATCCTCTCTTAAACCTAATGTGTGGCCATGGTTTTCAAGGACTATGTTTTCAAGGCAATATTTTAAATTGTACTTTCTGTTTTGCTTTTTGTTTTTGTGTAAATAAAATGATCTGTGAGATCGTAATGAATAATAAAAAGTGTTAATTTATAAAAGTTCATTAAACAAATTCAATTAGTAGTTTAAGACCATCTTGTCAGTGGAGCTTCTAATGCACTGTAATAAGAAATGGTAACTATGCAGAGATGAAAAGAACTTTATTGCTCCTCAGAGATCCCTAATTTTGAATTTGTTGATTTCTGGGAATATAAAACATTTAACTACATTATTGAATTAGCATGTGTGTTACATTTAATGACATTTCAATCGTTTCTAGAATACATTACTGGGAAGCATAGATCCCTTGACTATCTGGAGGACGATTTGTTCTTTATAAGATATGGAAAAGATACATAAAAGCCCATCTTTTGTAAAATTTAATTTTGGCATTTTTACAATCCCATTTTATCAAATATAAGAAAATATGACCATGCAAGTCAGAATAACATCTTTTCGATGTGATTTCTCTGAAGAATGATGATTAAAAAAGAAAATTCTGAAGAAAAAAATGTAAAATTTTTGTAAGAAATAATTTCCTGTTCAAAAAATTCTTTTTACTTGGGAGTATCAATTCTAAGTTGTATTTTCACCAGAGTATTTGCTGTGAGCTTAGTTTCATACGACTCAAAACTCTGCATACACATATTTGATGGTAAAAACAAATACAGTAACATTAAAAACAGAGCAACTAAATACTCCCAATGGGAACTGAGTACACAGTCAAGGACAGGATTTGGCCTTTGTGTAGTATTTTTTTTATTACTGTGGCCAAGTACTTAATAAATACATATTATTTTTGAAGTTATTTTCATCAGCTTTCTTTACCTATTTACATTTTTCATTTACAATTTCTGTACCATTTATTTTACTTTTCCAATTTACTTTGGCAGTCTACCTTAGTATTTACAATTTTCTTTACCATTTGCAGGGGCTAAAAAAGAACTGGGAAGAGGTACATAAAGAGTTCCAGTCCCTTTCCGTCTTTATAGATTCCATACCAAAAAAGATTCGCAAGCAGAAGCTGGAGGAAGAAATGAAACAACTGGAACATGACATTGGTGTAATTGAAAAACACAAAATTATTTATATTGCCAATAAAAAATAGTGGATTTTTAAAGTATAGTAATTTTAATGTAGGTAAAAACATGGAAAATATAAAAATAAAACTATAAGTTTTTCAAAGAGGAAAATACTATGAAGAGAGAATAAAAATAGTCTTGAAATGCTTAGGCAACGTTTAAAGAATAATTGAATTATTCACTATACAAGAACAAATTTTATTTTTACTAGTGTCATGTATTACACAAATAAACCATTAAACTTTAAGTCTGTGTGTTCCAGTTCTACATTGTAATTGACTATTATTATATACTCATACTTGTTTCACATAAACATTCATGTCTGGACTGTGAAAAATAAAATCAGCACTCAGAACTGCAAACTTTTTCTGCACTACATGATACAACCAGCACAACTTTAAAAATTGTTAAGTAGTTTGAATTAAAAATAGTAGCGTATGCTTTCTGAACTACTCTGATGATGTCCTACATATTATTTCTAAGCTCCACAGTTTTAAAAGATGTATTCTCTGATAGCCTGTGTCATCTGCAGTTATTCCCAACTGTAAGTACTTTCAGTATCCATAACACTATATGTGATAAAAGGCCTGTTTGGAGGAAGAAAAATTAAGAAGACAACTTAAAAATTGAAGCCATATTTAAAGGCATCATTAAGGATAATTAAAGAGAATAGCCTCCTTCCTAACATACCAATTTTTATTGCTCTATTCCATAATTCACTATGCATATTTCACTAAAAGCGTTTTTCTATTTGTTTTTGGTCTTTTCTACTTATCTATTTTGTGAATTGTAAAGTTACTATTTGTAAGATTACATAATTTATTAAGCAATAAGTTTATGCAAGTAGAGCTGTCTTCAACTCAAAATAAGAAATAAATCTATAAATATTCTTTTAAGAAATTTTAAGTTAGGCAAATGCAGTAAAATATATGACACTGTAAAATATCAGAGAAATAACAGTTTCTACTACTTATACTGATTTTTATCCTATAGATGACATAGAAAAAAAATTCTTTTCAAGTTTTTTTACAATCCATTTGGGAGCATTGTAGAGAAGTTTGTATTAGTTAATTAAAGAGAAATGTTTATATTCAATTATTTTTAAAATTCGCTTTAAACTTTTTTTTACATCTTATTATGAGTATCCTTCTTTATTCTTTTATTAACATAGGGCAGATATAAAACAAAAGATAGTATATCTCACTTATCCAGAATGGTTGATTGGTATTTAGGGTAGGCTAACAGCCATAACAATAAACCTCAAAATGTATAATCACATAAACATAACAGAAATTCATTTCTTATGTAAGAGTATTGTGCTGTGAAGAGGTCAGCAGGAACCCTTTTTCACATAGTCGCTCAGGGACCCAGAGTTATGGAATGCATTGGTTCCAGAGTTGGGGAGTACCACATGCAAGCCAGGTCTAGAAATGGTGCATACCTGGGCTGGCCAGTTGGCTCACTGGGTTAGAGCATGGTGCTGATAACACCAAGGTCCAGGGTTCCATACCTGTACTGGCCAGCTGCCAAAAAAAAAAAAAAAAAGTAGTGCATATCATTCCCATTTGCATTCTCTACAAAAAAACAATGTTAATTGCTTTAACAAACTAAATCCAAATCTTAGTTGCCTGATATAAAATAAAGATAGATTTCTCATTTGCATCACTGTCTGATGTGAATGGGGGAGGTGCTGTGTTCCATGCAGTCACTCAGGGATTTATTCTCCTTTTGTCCAGTGGCTCTGCTTGTACAGCGAACCTTTTCTGCCACAGTTGAGGAGAAGATGTTTAGGTTAATATCTTATTTGTAAGATGATTGCTATCCATAGCAATTATTTCAGCCTTATGGATGTTATGCTTAGGAGTCATGAGTGGGAGTTGCCTAAAATCTTAAAATGATACCTTTGTGGTTTTCAACAGATGTTTTTTTTTTTTTTTCTTGCTATCTTCAAATGTCTATTAAAGAATCCAGACTTTTTCCATGGCCCACAGTGTTGTGCCAGATGGACTTTACCGCCTTTCTCTCACACAGCCTTCCTAAGGAAACTTTCCTATCCATTGTCCCTGGGAGGGCTATTCCTACCACGGGATCTCAACCTTGGATGGCTTCAGTGCAACCTCCTCCCATCCACACACACACATACTGGGTCTCCCTATCAGTCAGAGGAGGGACAGACACCTGACTCAGTGGTTGGCAAGTGACTGATCAGATTCTCCCTCTTGAGACCATGAATTAAGAGACACACAGACTGCAGACACATGAGGGTAAACACCTAAGTCTAAAATACCAGACTTCATTATTACAGCTAGTTTAACTTGGTTTCTGTTCCTGTTCAAAATAGCACTGAGTAGAAAAATAAAGATTTGATGTAGTCTGACCCCTTACCCATGATCTCTGCAGTTTAGTTTCTTGAAATGCTGCCCCTTTCCTATCCACAGTAATCAACATTCTTTTGATACTGAGGTACCAAAGTCTTCCCAGATCTGCACACATGGTTCCCTCTGCCCAGAAAACTACCCTTTTCTTTCTCTACTTCTATCTATCTGCTTGGCAAATCCCTGGTCTTCAAGACTCAGCTCACATCAAATGTCTGTGACACCCTCTTTGATTCCTCAGAATCTGGCTTCTTGTT